TTTCCGGCGTTTCCCTGGTGGAGCTTCCACTCTGCGCCCCGGCCGCGGTTCCGCGAGCGCGTTCTTCGGTCACGGTTTTCCCGATTGCGCTGTTTGGGTCTTGGACGTGTCCTTTTCGGGATCGTCAGGTGAGCTTAAGCCAGGCGTTAACCCCTTCTCTTGCTGCTTGCAGAGATCTTTTTGCACGGGGACTGGAACCCCGAGTGCGCTGGTCTTCCGACCTCCGATTCTCAGATCACGGGCCTCCTTTCCGAACTCCGTTCGCTTGCCAGTTCCGCTCGCGCGAGCGGATCATTCCGCTCATACGCGGGTCCCTGGAAACATTTTAAGAACTGGTGTCTCTCGAAAGGCGTCCCTTGTCTCCCTGCTGCTCCTCTCACGGTCGCCCTTTATCTCACACTCCTACTCCGTTCTGCGAAGTCCCCCAGTCCAATCCTCACGTGTTCAGCGGCGATCTATTTACACCACTCTCTCGCCGGACTTCCGTCTCCCACTCAGCACTCTTTAGTGGCGATGGTTCGAGAGGTCGCCAAGCGTACACGTCTGTCAGGGCAGAACGTCAAGTCCCCTCTTCTGGCTTCTCACGTTCGGCGTCTGTTCGACCTTTGGCGCTGGTCCCCAGGAGCGAATCTCCACACAGTCATGAAGCTGACTGCTGTTACTCTTTGTTTCACGGGGTTCTTGCGCTGCTCGGACCTGCTCACAGTTCAATGGGAGGAGATTCGTTTTCTCCCGTCCCACATGGAGTTGTTCATCGAAAAGTCTAAAACGGACCAGTATCGCGTCGGTCACTGGCTTCTGATTGCTCGGGTGTCTGGTCAGTACTGCCCGGTGAGCCTCACCGAGCACTTGATCCAGAGAGGCGAGTACTCCCGGTCGGGCTCCGGCGGGCTTATTCGTAATTGTACAATTACCCCTCTCCAGCAGTACATACGCAGGGAGCAGCCCTGCTACTCGACGGTGCTGAGCTGGTTCAAAGACGGAGTGCGGAGCATTGGCCTGGACCCGGCGAAGTACGGAACCCATTCCGGGCGTCGGGGCGGGGCTTCCCGGGCTGCGAACGTTGACGTGCCTGATCGCCTCTTCAAGCAGCACGGCCGGTGGCGGAGCGAACGAGCAAAGGACAGCTACGTCGTCGCCAAACTACAGGCGCGTCTTTCAGTTACGGCTAACCTTGGGTTACAGCCTGACGTGTCTTTAGCTGACGTGTGCGAGTTCGAGCAGGCGGCAGGACTCGCTTAGTATTCTGCCTACCTCTGCCTCTACCTGTTCTGCAGTGCTTCCCCTTCGCGCTTCCCAAAGAAATTGTTCTTTGCGCCTTTCAATTGCGTTGCAATTGCATGCGAAGCTTGTTTGGCAATAGCAAACAAGAGAATT